GTCTTTCTGAATCCAAGTCCGGGACCCTATGCAGCTGCTGCATGCTAATATACAGTGTTCCTTCCTTTTCAGTTATAATGATGTTTCTAAGGTCCCTTTCAACTGTAAATCTGACCTTATTGTCCTAACTGATCATAAAGATTTGAATATTTACTAACATTAACAACGAAATATATTGATGACATTAAATTCTTCGTGGTTGAATCACCATTTTCCCCACCCTATCCCAACGCAGGCCATGTTGCATTCCTGTAGCAGCTTACTTCTCATTACTTATGTGACTTTAGGTAAGATAACTCTTAGGGTCTGTAGTGGGAGTTGGACCAGATGATCTCAATGGTCCCTTCTAGCTCTTTGATCCTGTGAGCTAGGTGCTTAACCCCTTTCCGGTTTGGTAGAATCTACTTAGACTCCACAGGAATTGTCTTTGAGAAACCAGGCACTTCTACGTCATGATGAAGCATCAGGGGTGGTTTTTATCAATGTCCTTGGAAAAATGAGAGTAAATGTAAGTTTTTGTTTAAGGTTAGACTAGATTTAAAATTTGAAAGTAAGTAATTAATTAATTAAATTAACTAAGAAATTAATTTAAAGTAATAATTAAAATTTTGAAAATAAGCAATTATTCATAGCTAGGTGGCTTAGTGGATAGAGTACCTGTCCTGGAGTCAGTAAGACTCATCTTCCTAAGTTCAAATCTGGCCTCAGACACTTACTAGCTGTCACTTAACCGTATATGTCACTTAACCCTATATGTCTCAAGTTTCCTCATCTATAAAATGAAACAGAGAAGGAAATAGCAAACCACTTCAATATCTTTGCCAAGAAAACCCCAAATGGGGTCACAAAGACTTGGACAGGACTGAAAACAACTGAACAACAATTATTCAGTATTTAACAACGCTATTACAAAACACAGTTTGGGGGCAGGTAGGTGGTGCAGTGGATAGAGCACTGGCCCTGAAGTCAGGAGGACCTGAGTTCAAATCCAGCCTCAGACCAAACACTTGACGCTTACTAGCTGTGTGACCTTGGGCAAGTCACTTAACCCCAAATGCCAAAAAAAAAACAAAACCAAAATACAGTTTGCATATAGCTTAAAAGATCTCAATAGTGCTTTACAGACTTAAACTTATTGCTAAGTAGACTTATGACCTCCATGAAAGTAAGTATTCAGAATTATCCTTATCTCATAGGTGGAGAAAATGACAGCATGCTACCTGTTCCAAGTTATACAGTAAAAACCACAAAAGCATGGAAATGAAATGTTCCTGATGTTAACTGAGTTTAGGAATTGTCCATTTGTCTGAGATAGTTGGTACAGATGCCTGTATCATGGTGATATGATGAGGCTGAGAACATTAATTGTATTTGCTCCTCACTCAAGAGAAAAACTCAGTCCTACTGCCACAGGTTTCACTGCTAGTCCCTTCACTTCCTCAAATTGTCCTGCAAACCTGTGCCAAGAAGACTAGCTTGGATAGCTAGTTATGTCCTTTTTGTATGTTTTGTATAAAGCACATTTTAATTTTTACAAAATTTAGTATAAGCTCATTTTCCAGGCACCAAGATGAATATACTTTCTTCCTTTTATTTATTACCATATCATTTAAAATTTCAGTATACTTTTTTACAGGAATGACCCACATGACAGGAACTTACATGACTTAAGAGCAACTATTCTTGCAATCACTAACTCTTCCTATAAGTTCCTCAGTTCCTGCATTTTGTATTTTAGTTTTTGTATTTTTGTTATTTATATATTTTATTATTCTTTCTTGAATACCAATTAGAAATTTCAGGGACCAAAGCCCTTATTTTTGTTCTATATGTAAGTGTAGATGGTACAAATGGACAGATGTTGGATCTAGAGTTGAATGGGAGCAGGAGGGTGTCAGACTGTCTTCTGGAAATTGCAAAACTCCTTTAATGACCCCAAGTTTCCCATGAAAGCAAAGGCCTATCTTTTTTAATAACATTCTACCTGTATTTCTATATGGCAGCAAGACATGGAACACAGCTATCTTTCAAAGAATTAAAAATAGCACATAGAGACCCACAGAGAGGTGTGTGGTAGGTATGAACAGTCTGCAACATATAACCAATAAGGAATATTGAAGACTAGAGGTAAAAGATGCCATCAAGGAATTTCCTTCTTTCCCTACTCAACCACCTCCCTCAACTTGCCACAAAGCCAAAATAAATAACAACTAATACACTTAACAGATCTGTGATCTTAATTAGGGAGGCACTTTCTTCATTAGATTGCAATCCACTAATGCCTTCTCATTCTGTTTGGTTTTTTTTCCATTTCAAAGATGGTCTTTCAAAGAGGTTCACAGAACAGAGGTGTCAAACATGGCTAACAGCCAAAACAGACTGAAATGTAACTGGTAAATGTTTAACAAAATAAATTAAATGCAATAAAACATAATGTTACTATGTGGTTTCTGAGTCAATACGCAGCGTGGAGAGATCTTTAGCTATAGTTCAGTGGCCTGTTTCTATTTGAGTTTGATGATATGCCTCTACAAAGGATATACTCAGTGGGCTCCAGGATTTCCTCTCAGCCTTTTTTGGGGGGGGGGGGTAGCAGTGCAGTATTTTGGGCTTTGCACATTTCAATCAACAAGCATTTATTCAGCACCTACTATGTGGTTAGAGGCAATGAGGTATAATGGATAGAGAACTAGCCTTAAACCAGTAAAACCTGGATTCAGGTCTTGCTTCTCTTACACTGGTTATGTGATCCTGACCAAATTACTCAGTCTCTCAGTACTCTAGCACTAGGCCAAAGCTTTTGTGTGGAAGATTTCTCCCTCTTTCTCATCTATCCATACACATATCTGGATAGATATGTATACATATACACATATACATCTAGATATGGATATATATGTATATATACATCTAGATAGATATGGATATATACATATCCATATCTACAGAGATATATACATATACATCTAGGTAGATATGTATATGTATTTGTGTGTGTATTATATATACACACATCATATTAGACATTGAAACCAATACATTTAAAAAATATTAGTTAGCTGTGGTATAGTGGCAAATGCAGTAGATTTGAGTATCGGGGTTTGAATCCTGATCCCACAACCTACTACTTTTGTGTGATCTTGTGCATGTCACTTAACTTTTTTTGAGTTTGTTTCCTCTTGTGTAAAATGAAGTTTATAAAGATGACCTTTAATGCACCTTTCACCTCTAAGTCTCTCTGATCCTATGATCCAACCTCTAGTTCCTAAGAACGGGAAGCCAATTTATGAACAAGCATTTACTAAGAACTTACCACTTGCCAGGGGTTGGCATGGGAATACAGATACAACAAATGAAACAATCCCTACTGACAAGAAGTTTACAGCATAAGAGGGTAGACATACATACTATCTGATCAGGATCAGGAATGGCTTTCCTTAGACGATGGAAGCTTGAGATTCCTCTGGAAGAAAAGGTTTCTATGAGATAGGCTTGAGGGTGCCTTCCTGGCACAGAACAGTCACAGCAAATTCATAGACAGCAGACTGAATGCTCAGTGTAAGGAACAGAGACGACTAGTTTGGCTGCAGTGCTGAGTATGGGACGGAGATAATGTCCAAAGAGGTTAGGATAGGTTGAGTTAAAACCTAAACAAAGATAACACAGTGGATGGAGCATTGGACTTTGACTCATGCCTCGGTCATATCCTAATTGTGTGACCCTGAGCAAGTCTAATAAACTCTAAGGAGCAGTTTTCTCATCTGTAAAATAGCACTTAAACTCACAGGGTTTTTGTGAGGATCACGAGTTAACACACATAAAGCGAGGCCACTGGAATTTGAGTTGGATGAGATCTGCACTTAAAATATCTAATGTTCAGGTTGGGTAAATGCAGAAATGGGAATGATAGGCTTTTGAATTAGATGGAGACGGTGGGGTGCGGGTGGGGGAGCTGGAGGCTTGCCTCTGCTGGAGGTGGAGGATAAAGAGTTCCGTGAATCATTAAAGAAATGAAATACAAAGCAACTCAGCCCAGTCCTAGGATGGGCAAGATCACTTGATCAAACAAACTTCCTGTGTCCGCTCAGCAGACGCCACCACCCTCCTCCAAAGTTAGGGACAGAAATGACGAGAGTGGAAAGCAACATTTTCATTTTCTTACACAGAAATTGTGGGTGTGATGGGAGGTGGGGGCGTGGCAGGGTAATGAGGCAACTGGATAGGAGACAAACAAATGCAACTACTAGGGGACGTTTTTTCCCCCTTTCCTTCCAGGAACACAGCTGCACAACTGCCTCCCGCGCCGGGACCAGAATCTGTGGCAGCTGTAGCTCCCACGTGGCAAAACCAGACAGCGCCGCGACTTCAGCCCCAGCTGGGGAAGGGAGGGAGGGGCCGGACTGCCTGATGAGACCCCGCCCTCCCCGCTTACTAAGACGTCCGTGAGCGACAGGGGCTGTCTCCTCGCTCAGCCAATGGCGGCCAACCAGGGGCGGGGCTTGCAACTCGGTCCTCCACCGCCGGGGGGCGCGAACGGCTTCCCCGGCGACGAGAGCTCATTGGTGGCCGCGGGCGAAGGGGCGGGAAGAGGGTGCACGCCAGGGGTGGGGAGCTGGGCTTCCTCCTGTCCACAAGCCAGGGTGGAAGGGTAGCGGGAGGTACCTGGGGAGAAGGAGGAGGAGGAGGAGGAGGAGGAGGAGGACCAGGTCGAGGTCGAGGTGTGTGACTCCCGGCAGCCTCGGGCAGGGACCGGACGCGAGCGGCAGCCCTGGGCGGGCAGGCAGGCGTGCGAGGCAGTGGGCGCCGGTAAGGACCGTTGGCTCGGCGGGGAGACGGGCGCTAGACTCGGACAGTCGCTGCCCCCGGACGCGCGCGCGCACGCAGGTGTCCTGGGGGCGAGGGGAGGGGCGCGGCATCCCCGCCCTCCTCCCTCGGAGAGTCCCGGGCGGGACAGAGGCAGCTCAGCTGATGGGCCGAGGAGAGCATCCTCCATCTCCCACCTTCAACTCCCCGTCCTCTTCCTCCTAGCTCATCCCACCCCTGCCGAGACGGGTAAAAGGGGGCACCCCTACCTTGTACTCGTAGAGCTTTGGGAACCCCAAACAGCATCCCTAAGCCACAAGCCCTTGATCTTGACTTGAGCCAGCAGAGCCCGAAGGGTTGAATGAATCGCCCGAAGTCCCGGGGAGCCCAAGGTCTCCCTTTCCTCTAGTCGGGTTGCATCTTCTGGCTGCCACGGAGTGGTACTTAGAGAGCTCGTTTAACCCTGGGCTTGTAGCCAGCTCCCAGGCTGAAGTGCACTTTGTGTGTCTGCATCTTGTTAAGGAAGGAGGTAGGAAGAAGGCTTAACGTATATGTGTGGGGTGGGGGCGTGCTGCGTTTGGCAGGTGTTTGTCGTGTGTGAAGTTTGAATTTCCCTTAAGGCTCACCTGGTAAGTTGCTGTGACTAATTTAAAAGGAAGTCTGTCTCAAAATTAGCTTTTACGTTTCAGTTCACATAAGCTACTGACATAACATTCTGTCCCCAGGTTTATCTAAGTGGTTGAAAATCTGACCTTACGTACCAGATCTGGTTGCAGTGTGTGGTTGGCATCTGTGACTTTTTTTTTTTTTTTTTACAGTTTGAAATTGGTTTCTTATAGATGTTACTTTGTTTTTTTAATCGCTTTTATCCATTCTATAAAAATGTGACTTTTTTGCACTTTGAAATTAGTTTCTCATAGATGTGCCTTTGTTTTTTTTTAATGCCTTCACCCACTTTCTGTATAGAAATGAATGCTTTATTTCTTGTAGTTTAGTACCATCTCTTAAATGACAATTCTTATTGTTTACTGTACAAGGAAAGGAAATAATGTGATATATTTTATACTAATACTGAACCAGGTACATGCAGCTTTATACTTTAGGTGTTCTTTAAATGTAATTCACAATTGTATTATCTCTATCTTTCACATCAGGGAAGTATATTAATGGCTTATTTTAATGCTTCTCACCAATAGACTGCAAAACTAAGCTTTACTCAAATTACTGTCAAGTAATCAGTATCTCTTCTTTTCTTACACATTTGAGAAATTTGATTTATAAGGTTAGAGTATTAGAGTTGGAAGAAATTCAGAAGTCTGGACCAGCCCATTCATTTTAAGTTTTTAATTAAAAGGTTTTTGATTTCTAATTTAACATGAAGCTAACCTGTTACATGGTTTAAGGTGTATATTAAATTTAACATAATAGTAACAAAACTGCTCAACTTCTCAGTCCCCTTTTGAACTTGATTCTACTCTCTTCTCTGTATTTTAAAAAAAAATTTCATTGATGCTTTTTCTTTTTTTTTAACTTCACCCTTATTACCTGCTAACTCTCTCTCCTCACCCAAATCATCTTTCCTTATGACTAATAAGCACTGTACACACACAAAAGAAACCAACATATTGGCCATCCCTGTAAGTAAATATATCTCTTCCTGAACCTCTCCCTCATCTCAATGGCAAGTAGGCCTATCAGTCTTCTTAATTTCTCATTGGTCATTGCATTGATTAGAGTAAGTCTTTTTGAGTGTTCTTTTTTCTTGTGGCTAGTGCCTTTCTTTATACCAAGGAAGACTGAGGCCTAGGTTTGTCATTGTTCATTCACATCAGATTCATCTGGGTTTTTTTGGCAAAGATACTGTAGTGGTTTGCCGCGTCCGTCTCCAGCTCATTTAACAGGGTTAAGTGACTTACCCAGGGTCATACAACTAGTTAATAGCTAGTTAAGTGTCTGAAGCTGGTTTGAACTCAAGAAGATGAGTATTCTTGATTCCAGCCCAGTACTTTATACACTGGGCCACCTACCTGTCCTGGTGCCCAAGTAAGAACAAGAGTTAAGGAACTCGTTTGACTCCTAATCAGTAGTTCTTCCCACTAAATCATTTCTTTCATCTTCATACTCCTTGTTAGGGGAAAAGGATGTGGAACTTGTGGTTTCATTCTCAAGTGAGGTGAATCTAGGTCCGAACCGTTTCTGCATTTTATTATCTAAGGGATTTGCCTAGGGCATTTAGACATTCACACAGTGGAATGTTAGAGGTGGTGGGCATTGTTGGGGTCCAATCTTCCTGCTTCCAAAAAGCAGATTCTATCCACTATAACACACTGCCTCTCAGGTGCCACTGGTACCACACTGTAACTTGGCAGCTAGGAAGTTTTTTTCCAGACCAGGGAAACCTTTTTTTTAATACCCTACTATGGTTATGAATACCCCCAGGCTAAGATTAAGTGCTTGTTACCAGTTCTCTTTAAATTGAGTGTGTACGTGAAAGATTAATGTATTCTTAACTGATTAAAATGCAGCATTATTATTCAGAAATTATTGAAGCTATTCAAAATATATTTCAAGGAGAAAGATTGTATATATTTGTATGCTTAAATTTTTGAATGTAACATGTAATTGACTTATTTAGTTTGTTCAGTTGTGTCCAACTCTTTGTGACCCCTTTTTGGGGTTTTCTCGGCAGAGATACTGGAGTGGTTTGCCATTTCCTTCTCCAACTCATTCTACAGATGAGGAAACGAGGCAAATGGTTTTGGTTAAATGACTTGCCCAGGGTCACACAGTTAGTAAATGTCTGAGGCCAAATTTGAACTTCTGTCTTCTTGACTCCAGGGCCTGCACTCTAGCCACTGGGCCACCTAGCTGAAGCAAATGTTAATTAGTCATTTCAGTCACGTCTGCCTCTTTGTGACTTCATTTAGGGTTTTCTTGGCAAAGATATTGTGAGTGTCTGAGGTCAGATTTGAACTCATCTTCCTGACTTCAGCCTTGGCACTCTAGCGCTGTGCCACCTATACCTGTAATTGAATGTATATTTTTAAATTATAAAAGTATTAAAGGGGGAAATGCAAATCTGAAAAAAAAAATTCAATTCAATTAAGATTGAGGCAGCAATTAAGATTGAGGATAGAATACTGGAAGTACTTAGGAAGACCTAAATTCAAGTCTAATCTCAAATACTTCCTAGCTTTGTGATCGAGGTAAATCACTTTCTCTCTCTGCCTCAGGTAACTCATCAATAAAGTGAGGAAAATCATTGGAAGAATCATATAGTTGTTGGAGAGATTAAATGAGAAAATATCTTTAAAGCTCTTTGCAAACCTTAGAGGGCTATGTAAATGCTATCAACCATTAAATGCAGAAGAGGAAGAACTTGGTTAACTGTCTGTAGTAACTTTGTAGTGGCAAAAGGTTGTATGTTCCCTAGTCAATAATCATTTTACAATTTTCTATGGAGTTTTCCTAAATAATACTAGGTAAGTCTTTCTAGTGAGTGGTAAACTCTAGCATTCTCCCAAAAGATTCATCCCCTCCTTATCAGGGTCATTGGGCTTCAAAACGTTTTCTTATTTTTTTCATCTAGTGACTTTTTTTTTCTCTTCCCCAACTTTTTCACTTAAATTGTAATTGTCACTATTAACTGTTAGAAGAGGTATATTTCTACCTCGTAGTTCTTAAAGTCTCCTGGGGGGAGGTCCAAAAGCAAGATACACCCCCTCTAGATCTGTATAGATCAGAATTCTCCATTATAACCACAATGTTTGGAGTTGGTTTAAAGGACTTGAACCGAGAATCAGGAGACCTGGTTCTGCCATCAGCTTTCTGCTAGAGTGATCATGGAGTAAGTGGCTTATTATTTGGGGGTCTTAATTCCCTAATCTCTAACATAAGGGGATTGGATTTGTCTTTCAGAACATTTTTAGGTTTAAAATTCTTTTACTCTATGATGTTTCTCCAGATGTTTCTGATAGTTTTTTTAACTTTAAAAATATTTTCCTTATCTTTGAGGATGGAGATATCCATATACTTACATCATTATACTACTGCTGCAATTTACTAAAATCCAACCCTTTCCACTTTTCTTCTTAAGCCTATTTGAAGCAAAGATCTTAATAATATTCTTCTTCACCAAGACAGCCGTCACTCCCATTGTATTTGAGGTCATTTCTGGGCGAAGTGTTTTTTAGTTTCATTTGAGTTAGCTCTATGTGTTGGTGTGAAAAGGTTATATGTAAATGAATATTGAATCAGCTTCTAACTGATTGTGGTTACAAGTAGTTCTGCAAGGGTTTTTAGTGTCAGGATAGGTTAGTCAAAGAATTCATACACACTTTCATTGCTTGAAGCTATATGACAGTACAGAAATAAATTTTGCAAGAAAGGTAAATCTTTGTTTTGAAACAATAATGTTCCAACCTGGTTTAGTAGAATAGTTCTAAAAATAAAGTTCAGATTCCCCGAGCACCATCCTTCCTACTCCTCTTTGCAACAAAAAATACTGTAATATAAAAGTACTTTGCAACAAAAATAACTTGTTCAGCTTATGTTTTATAAGCAATTTGCCAATGTTAAGATAAATAGAAAATATATACTAAACACAAGTATGAGTAGTGATTGTTGGAAAGCTGCATTCCACAGCATTTTATCAGACAGTTGTCTATTTAATCTAGTCAAGTATACTAGGTAAAATAATCATTTGAGATGAAGATGTTAATGCTTCATTTGTACATAAAATTATGCTTTTTGGTGTATAGTTCACGTAAGCAGAACATCTCATTCTTCCCCTCTCCACAACCCCTTCCTATTTATCATGAATTTGTCCTTGAAATCTTGCTTTAAGACTTTTTCCTTGGGCCTTTATTCACCTCTTCCCTTCCCCCTCCCTCCCCTTTTGTGGCACATATGGATAACTAGAGCAATAATTTGAGTTGTAAACCTTTAGAAATTCACTTTTCAAATTGAATTGTAGGATTGAAGGAGCAGAAAGAAGAAAAGTAAAATAGGTAGTAAACTTAGGGAAGGGGGATGTTTTTCTAATCTGGGCTTTAAAAACATCTAATTACCAGGTACCACTTTCTTACTGTATTAGATCAGGCTATGGCTGATTCTATTCTAGTATATTCTAGCAATACTGGAAAGGCAGAGAGGGAATCTTGCATTTAGTTTTATATTCCCTTCTCCAAGTGAGAGTAGGTGGCTATATTACTATTTACATCTGAGGCAACTAATGTACTTACCCTAATCCTTCACTCACCTTCAGAAAGAATTCCTTAAATCCATGGGTCTTTTGAGTGATTGATTTCCAGCTCTCTTTTTCTCATTTCCTTATTTCTTATTTTTTAACTTAATAATTCTAATATCTGCTAGCTTTCATTTCCTCTCTTTTGCCCTTAAATGCACTTTGTGTTATCTGGGAGGGCAAAGACAGCATTTTATTCATTGTGAGATTAGTCATCATTCCTCTTTTATAGTGCAGATCACTGAATATCAGAATCGACCATCCCCAACTAGCCATAATATTGG